TTTATAACCCAAGTCTTTACTATCTTTAGGAGTGTTCAAGCATCACAAAAACACAGAGATAAGCAGTCAGACTGCAAATATCTTCAAATGAACTGTACGTTGACCCCAGGACTAAAATCATACAAATTTTGCGCAAGTCATGTGTTTCATTACAACATCGTCCTCTACACGGTGATTTATCCGAAGTTTATTCAAACAGCTAGCTACTTCCCACCCCTTCAAGTTGACTTGATTTATTGATTTCTTTTCGAGTTCATTCCTCCGTCATGAATAATGACAATCTTCCAAATAGCTACTATTTTCATATCGATCTTTGTTATAGTTGAAGAACTATAGGCAGAGGAATGCTTTATATTTTTATATACCTGACCATTTTATACCAATTTAAGTTAAAAATTCTTGAGATTCGGGAAATCAAGAAACATTGGAAATACGTGTCGGCGACTTGAGACGCCATTTTTTTTACATATATCGAAGCAGCCGCGCAGGCAGAAGCCTAAATGCCGGAACTCGGCGGCTGCTATCATGATCCCAAAGAAATTTTGTTAATACGATTTTTGAACTGCCTAAGTTTAATAGAACTGGGAAAAGCTACCTCTTGTAGATTGTTCCACAATCTCGACACCCTCGGGCAAAGGAGCGGTCGTATCACCGGTTCTGGATGTACGAAGTTCGATACGGTTAGGATGGGACGCCAAAGTCAGGCGGGTCTGTCTGGCAGGCACATCGCGGGGCAACATCATAGAATAGAGCTCTGAGGAGCAAAACCGGTTGGTGTAACGGTAGAAAAGAGCTACATCGCCGACGGCCCGCCGGTGCGAAAGAGTCCCGAGACTGTCTGTTAGAGAAGAGTCATCGATCAGTCGAACCGTCCTCCTCTGGACAGCATCGAGCACGGATAATGTAGTCGGGGCAGCAGCACCCCAAACTTGTGAGCAATACTCGAGGCTAGGCCTTATCTGGGCCTTGTATAGAGTGAGAAGGTCATGCGGAGAAAAGTACTTCTTAGCCCTAAACCATTGATTCCCAAAGTGGTCTATATCGACCCCTAGGGGTCTATGACAACCTGCAAGGGGTCTACGTCAGCGAAAAAAAATTTGGGGGTCCATGAAATGAATATGGGGGTCCACGATAGTGGATCTCAACACATACACTGATAGTACCTATTTACGTACATCATACTATCTTATAATATCAAAACATATACATTATTTATAAAAGTACCTGAAGTAAAAAATTTATTATATATGCTTATAAAATTGTGTAAGTTGTAGGATGTTGGTATTCGCTTTGAGGTCGCAATACATTTTGAACTTGTAAAAACCTGAGAGTCACACAAATTATAGTGAGTCAGTTTTATTTTGTTTGAGAGTGCTGGAGAAAAGTAAGTACATTATTTTTTATTAAATTTTAGTTTTGTACTCGTAGTTAGTAAATATAGATAAATTGCGCCAATCATGACTTTAGTTATTAGTAGTTAAATATTCAATCATGCAAAATTACACGAGTACTCCTCAATAGTTTCTTTTTGAAAGTTTTAGCAATCGGTAATATAATTACAGTGCAATCTCCGTAATTCGAGCTAATTGTTGCAAGAAGATGTTCGAATTATGGAATGTTTTCGGAAAAAACCAAAAAATATTTTTAATATACAGCTGATGGATTTTCTGTCTTATTTAAATAATTTAATTTTGCCCACAGATGACTGATGCCATGTCCGAATCTAAAAAGAAATGTAGACAGTACAGTGTTGATTATTTGAAATTTGGCTTCATTCTATATCGCTATGAAACCATCTAAGCTGCAAGATCATCTGAGAGGATGCCACCCTGATAAAACAGAGAAAGATTTGAAATACTTTCAAACACTCAAAGATAAATTTCAGAAGAGACCTACACTGGACAGAATGTTCGCTTCGACATCACAAAGAAATGATGATGGTTTGCGGGCGTCTTACAATATCTCGTTACTTATAGCAAAATCCGGAAAACCGCATACTATCGGAGAGAAGTTAATTTTGCCAGCCGTTGAAGAGGTTTTGAAAACTGTTATACACAAACCTGCATCTGATATCATTAAAAGAATTCTCTTAAGCAACAATACTGTTGAAAGACGTATTGATCAAATGAGTTCTGATATTGAAAGCTTCTTATGTAATTATTTGCAAACGACCCATTTCTCTATACAACTGGACGAGTCAACTTTACCTGATAATGCAGCATTATTATTGGCATATGTTCCTTTTATTATGAATCAAGAAATCTACGAAGAACTGATCTTCGCAAGAACTTTGATAACCGACACTAAAGGTGAATCAATATTTCATGTTTTGAAGGATTACTTCATTTAGAAAGCAATTCCTTTATCAAATATAATATCAGTAGCTACAGATGAAGTACCTGCCATGGTTGGACGTTATCGTGGATTTATAAGCTATTTAAAACAAAATGTGTCAGAGGTGTTAGCAATACATTGCGTCATCCATCGACAACACTTAGTTGCTAAAAATTTGAGTGTTAGATTGCATGAATCACTTCATTTAGTCATTGATGCAGTAAACCGAATCACAAGCAACGCGTTGAATTCGCGGTTATTTGCGCAGTTGTGTGAAGAAAATGACGAACACTTTCATCAAGTACGCTGGCTGTCGAAAGGCTTATGTTTGACAAGATTTTTTGCACTTTTTGAGACTACTTTAGAATTTCTGGATACTAAAGATAAAATTGTAAAAGAAAATTTAATGAAGAGGAAACCAGACATCGCCTATTTAACAGATTTGTTTACAAAATTTAATATGGTTAATTTGCAATTACAAGGCGACAGTTTAAATTTGATTAAAACAAAGTCCATCTTATCAGCGTTTATCAGAGTTAAACTAATGAAGCAAAATATTGGACGGGACGAATTTTCTCAGTTCCCCAATTTGTCACAGACAAGCTGCCAGGAAGACGTCGTTCCAACTTACGGTCAACATTTAAATGCCCTCTATTCAGATTTTGAATCTAGGTTTGAGGATATTTTGACTATGGTAATACCACCGTGGATAATTAATCCATATGGTGACATAGAAGAAACGAATGTCATAATACAAGAGGAACTGACTGAACTAAGTACAAACGAAGAACTTAAGGTTCAGTTTAAAAACGGATATCAGCAATTCTGGCTGCAAAACAACATACCCGTTACTTATCTCGTATTATGGAATATAGCGAGGAAATTTTTAATTTCCTTTCCATCGTCATACCTAGTAGAAAGGGGATTCAGCGCTGTTACCAATCTCCTAACGAAAAAAAAGAAACAGACTGGACATTATTAGCCGAGGAGATTTAAGATTAACCCTTACAAAATTGTTGATAACTTATTATTAAAGCATCAGGTTCATCCTTCTCACTAAAAATATTGACTTATTGCTTATGTTATTTTATTCATAGTTTATTTTATGTTTATTGGTGTCTGACCAATAAATGCCCGCATTGGGAATAAGTGCCCGCATTGATTTTTTTAAAGAAACCCCCTTTATAGAAAATATTTTTTTTTAAATTATTCTGAAAATTCAAGGATAGGTACACAGTAAAATTCGTTAATTTTTAGCCTATTTTTAGATAACTTAAATGTATAAGAATCGGAATTTAATCAAGCTAACAGTGAAAGTATTGTAGAACATACGTTTATGTTATAATTAATAAACGAACACTTATTGTACTATTTTAAGTAACAAACTTTTTTTTTATTATTTTTCACTTTTTTTATTTTATCCCTCTTAATTTTTTTTCAATGCGGGCACTTATTCCCAATGCGGGCACTTATTGGTCAGACACCTGTTTATTTAATGTTACGTATATTTTACATAACAGAAAAAAAATTATTTTGAGTAGTTTTAATTTAAATTCAATTAATAAATGTATAAATTAACATGTGTTTTTACTTTAAGTTTTTAACACTAAACTTCACTACAGTTAGAAATTTACAGGAAATCAATATCAGGTAAGTGGGGGTCTACCCAACACGGAAAAACATGGCAAGGGGTCTACGACAAAAAAAAAACTCTGCCTTGAACAAATAGCCTAGCTTTTTCCCAGCAGCTGCAGCTATTGACGAGATGTGTTCGTGCCAGATCAGGTCCTCGGTGATCTGGACTCCGACCAGCCGAAAAGAATGGCTCTTTGGCAGAACTCGACCATCCACAGAAACCGAGTGAGCGCAGGGACGCTATTTGTTGGTCAAAATACCGTACTACGTTTTGGAAGCATTGTACAAGATTGTTGCGTCCCCAAGCAGTGATAGCCTCCAGGTCTCTTGTCAGAGAGGAAGGCCATCTGTAGGTACAACAAAATGTTTGTTATCAAGTTTTAAAATTTTAGTTTGCTTCTAATGACCATCTACCTGTGACATTGGATGGTATATCTCTATTTACCAACATTCCAGTTAATTTTGCTATGCGATGCATAAAACACATTGGAAGAGATTAGAAGGATCACCTTGCTTCCTATAGACTTTTCAATTTCCTCTACAGTTGCAAACCTGGCTATGGAACAACGACATAAATCTTATCTTGGAAGCCTGTCGATCAAACCAACTTACAAGGTGTGTAAATTAAGTGATAATACTGATTTTGGTTTCAATTTGTTTATTCCAATATAATTGCCATTTTATATTGTTACCCTCAAAACAACTTTGGGCTCTTGACAACACACTATCTCCGTATGATGAAATGCGAAAGGCTTTCGCGTCCATCATCCAATGTTATTTGGTTATTTTATTATATGTGAACATTTTCTGAATATGCCAACCACTGGTGTTAGGGAAACGTCAAGTAAAAATATCTTACGATCTTCGTAGGCCTGTTTAGCAAGAGTTTACGTTGCACTGTGCCCAAGTCTAAAGCAAAACCTGATAGCACACCGTTGCTTGAGATTGTTGATTTTACATTACACAATACGAGGGATGTCTTTTAAGTTTTGCATATAGAAACATCATAGGCCACGCGGATCGAACGTCAGTAGGTACTGAATCTTAACCTCACTCTTCAGTAAACTTAACCCGTAACCACAGACGCGGAGTCAATTTGACTCCTTGCAAGTACGTGGTGGGGAATTTCTCGTTTTCTCCTCACTCTATCTGACCAGGCGTAGACGTACCTTTTCATCGAGTAGTATTGAACTAGCGCCGAGACGGTTGCGTTGTTTGTGTACGTTATTTACATTTCATTACGACTTGTATTTTCGGCGGAGTCAAAAAGACTACAGGTCTGTGACAATGTTATATTTTTGTTACTGTATTTCGTGAATCTGTTCGATTAGTTTTAGGTTTTTATGATGGATTTTGATAGCACAGCTGGTCCGTCAAGGAGAGTTAGATATGGGGATCCGGACTTCGAAGAAACTTTGCTGAAATTGGCGGATGAGGTCGATAAAGACGACAGTGATATTGATTCAGATGCCGAATTCATTTACAGTGATCATGAGAGCGGATCGGAACAAGATATGGACGCAGATTGTGAAAGACTTTCTACTGAAGACGATGAGACATCGATCGGCGCTTCTACAGGAAACTATTTCTATGGAAAAAACCGTTTCAAATGGTCCAAAGTAGCAATATTCTAAAAATACACGTACTTTGCAACACAATATTGTATTCAAGCCTCCGGGTGTAAAAAGTATAAATCTTCACAAAGCCGATCCAGAAGAGGTTTGGAATCTTTTCTTTGATGACCGCCAAATTCAGATTATTCTTCAGTACTCCAATTCACGTATGGCAAAATTGAGAGAAAAGTATAAAAACAAAAACTCAAGTGATACTCGTGACTTAGATGTTATTGAGCTGAAGGCTTTTATTGGACTGCTTATGCTTACAGCTATCTTCAAATCTAATCACGAAGACATTCGTTCAATTTTTGCGACGGATGGATCGGGTAGAGATATATTCAGATGTGTGATGAAATCAGATCGTTTTGCTATTATTCTTGTATGCTTACGATTCGATGACCCAGAAACTAGACTCGAACGTAAAAAGAATGACCCATTAGCTCCAATCTCTGAGATATTCAATGCTTTCATTAAAAATTGTCAAAGCGCTTACACTCTAGGTACAAATATGTGTATAGATGAAATGTTAGTTTCATTTAGAGGACGCTCAAAATTTAAAATGTACATGCCAGCAAAGCCTTGTAAATATGGATTAAAAGTTATGGCTTTGACCGACGCTAGAACTGGATATCTGGATATAATGCATATATTTATTGTGGCAAAGATTCGGATGGTTTCGACCTGTCTGATACTGAAAAACTATATTCCAAGCCCACGCAAGCAGTGCTCAAACTTGCTAAGCCAATTTTCGGCACGCACAGACACATAACTGCCGATAATTGGTTTACTTCCATAGAATTAGTAAATTTACTAAAAAGTAAAGGCCTGACCTACGTTGGAACGATAAAAAAAAAATAAAGGTGAAATTCCAGTTAGTTTTCTACCAAATAAAGATCTATAGGTTCTAGTTTGTACGGTTTTACCAGTGACATTACCCTACTCTCTTACGTTCCAAAGAAGTACAAGGCTGTTTTATTGGTCTCCTCAATGCACCATAATGAAGGAAAGGTAGGGGAATCCGGCAAACCCGAAATAATTGACTTTTACAATCTAACAAAAGGGGGGTAGATAGCATAGATGAAAAGTGTAGTGTTTATTCGACGGGTCGAAGAACGCGGCGTTGGCCAATGGCACTTTTTTATAGAATGCTGGATATTTCCACTGTCAACTCTTTTTTGGTTCATCAGTCATGCCGAGATAATGTCGAAATGAAACGTTTCAATTTCAATAAACATCTTGCAATGCTGCTAGTGGAACCAGAAATGAGACGTCGTTTTCAAAATATGCGCATCAGAATGTGTCAGAAGTCAGAATGTGTATTGGTCGAGTTTTAAAAATAGAAGACCATACTGCTAACCAGGAAGAAAAATTTGAGGTCAGAAAATATTGCAAACGTTGTCCAGCTAAAAAAAGACGAAAAACAGCACACTCCTGCATAATTTGTAAAATCCCAATATGTATGGATTGCACTAGAAGAGTTTGCGTGGACTGTGCAAAATGAAAAAATAACTTGGTAAAACCTACTGCACGTTTCGAGAATATTACTTTCACGTTAATTTATAATCATTGTAAGTATTCTGTTTTACGTTTTTAACGAGTTTTGTATGAAAAGTAATTCGCATTTCATTTTTTTTATCCTAAAAAGGTGCCAAAGATGTTATTGTAAATATTCACGAAAATTGTGTGCAATAAATATATTTCTTCAAAACTTGGTTGCTTTTTACTGACGAAAATTGTTATTAAAAACAATATTAAAACAATTCTATTTAAGTAATATAAGATAGAGGTAAACTTGTTTTTATTTTTCAAATAGGCTTTCCATGGCTTCCAATATAGGAGTCATTTTGACTCCACGTCTGTGGTAATGTTCAATTGATTAGACGTCTGTGGTTACGGGTTAAATTCAAAGTTTCACAACAATACGTGCAGTGTTCTCACTACAGTGAATTTTTAAGTGTCACCAAGTCAGTAGAAAAATGGAAGTCAACCGAGAACATTTTCGCGCCATAATTTATTACAACTTTCAACAAGAATACCCTGCTGAGTTGCTGTCTGTTTTCGGCAACGAACGCCACATCAGTCGATAATTTCCCGTTGGTATGGAGAATTCAAACGTGGACGGGTGAGTCTTAGCGACGATCCCAGGGTGGGTGCACCAAAAACGGCAGTCACCCAGGAAAACAAAAAAAATTTCACATCGATAATTTTCTGATTTAAATATTGTAATAATATAATTTTACAATATTAAATCGTCGTTTTACCCGTCACAGAAAAAAAATGTGTGTTATACACGGGAAAAATACTGGATTTTAGATTTCGGTATCTAGTACTTTTTTCCCTTGTATAATAAATAACTATTTTTCGCTCCAGAGCTGTTTGTTCTTTATGCTACTCTGTTCTGTTCTGGTACCCGTGTATAAAGAAACGCGCGAGTCATCAAATAACAATGCGATCAAATTAATGAACTAAGCCCAAAATAGCATCCGAGATCTTGTAGGGAAATGTTTAAGCTTCAATTTAGACACTTGACAAAGTCAAAGATCATAATGATTAATAGAGTGTTGAACATTAAATATTGATGTTTTTAAGCGTTCAATTTTATAGGTAGAAGAATAACTAAGTGTCTTTTTTGTTCATAGTAATCCAAAATCTGTAAAATTTTTCTGAACGGCAAAGAAAACAACTTTTAGTAAATTGCTCAAAAACATTGTTTAAACTTTGCACCGGGATACCATAGCTTCTCGTTTTGATTAGACATTTGTCACTTTTAGATGACTCATAACTCCTGAACTGCTAGAAATCTGAAGGATTGCTTATATTGCTACTGATCGTAAAAAAGGTAGCGATAACTTTCAACTAGGATGCCAATTGCGAACCTGTGGACGCCTGCCCTTAGATGCATCAGGACCAAAGTGCCATTTGTATGTCACAGGCAGCAGCGGTGGCCGCAGTAGTAGACTCTTCGGTCCCCTGATCAGTCGCCGTGCGCTGTGCGGGTTCGAGTCCTGTCCCAGGAGAAATTTTTCTCTTGGCTATGGATGTCGTGATTGTCCGTAGGTGGTAGACGGTCTCTGACTGTCGAACGTGGAGGTACCACCCGGCGGATTTCGTAGGCGGAGCCAGAATGTGTGCATGCTGCATGCACACGTGTTCCCTCGCCAGAGTCCGTGTGGCGTTCCTCTTTCCCCTGTATCCCCCTATAGCCCCACGGTACCCAATGGGTGTTTAGGCCTTAGGCCTTCGTGGTAGTTGGAGTATAAAAAAAAAAAAACGTCGATGCTGTGTTCAAACTCATCATTGAAGATAGACATGTGCCATATCGCGAGATTGAGGCGTCCTTGGAGATCTCAAAGACCTCAATTCAAAAAATTTTACATGAAGAATTAGGAGTAAGAAGATTAGTTTCTCGTTGGATACTCCGCCTGTTGACTGAAGAGCAGAAAGCAGCCAGGGGGGTTAATTGGTGTCAAAAAACGCTTGACCGTTTCAATTCCGGAAACTCAAAAAATGTGTACAGCACTGTTAGTGGTGATGAATCGTGGATTTACTGTTATGAACCAGAAAATAAACGACAGTCGGCTGTTTGGGTGTTTCAAGGTGAAGAAAAGCCAACAAAAGTCATCCGTTCTCGAAGTGTTTCGAAAAAGATGGTCGCGAGCGGGTCATATTGCAACAATTCCTCTTAATGAGCAAAGAACTGTTACTGCGTATTGGTATACCACCATTTGTTTGCCAAAAGTCATCACAGAGATTCGAAAAATCAACCCCGAAAGAAGAATCATCCTCCACCAAGCTTTCACACAGCCCAAAAAAACAAGGCAGTATTTAACGGAAGAAAACATAGAATTATTGGACCATCCTCCATATAGTCCCGATCTAAGTTCTAAAGATTTCTTCACTTTCCCGAAAATTAATAACAGACTGCGTGGTCAGAGGCTCCAGTCACCAGAAGAAGAAGTTGACGCATTCAAAATTGCCGTTTTGAATCTGCCAGCAAACGAGTGGTATAGGTGCTTCGAAAATTGGTTCGAGCGCATGTAGATGTGTATTAATCTTCCAGGAGAATACTTCGAAAAACAATTTAAAACTACCTACCGTGTTGTTTTATTTCCATATGCAAAACTTAAAAGACATTCCTCGTAGAAAGCAACTGTTTCACAAAAATAAATCGCCACTGAAAACCAAATGACTCAAGCGAGTTCAAGCTTGTACTGAAGATATATCTTATGTGCCCCTATCTCCCCTCTAAGCCTCGCGCCTTCAGCGTTGTCAGAAGGAACTCAACCTTGCCAGTCTCAACACTTAATTTACAGACCTCGTATTATCAGAGAAATGTAGATGATTGTCTACTCTGCATACATAAAAACAAACAACAAATAAAACGTCGTTTTTTATGTAAATGCTTTTACGGCTAACGCACGTGGGAGCACTTGTGAAATTTTAGATTATCGTAAAAGTTTTATATTTTAACTAAAACAAAGGTGTTATCTCAGTCTAGTAACCCACAGATTTTAAAGACAATCTTGTCAAAAGTCAACTAGGACTATTTAAATTATTTCAAGGATACTTAAAACATTTTGCTACCTATCTAAGTTTTGTGATGTCTCCTTTATTATCCACTCGACTTTCCAGCTGGTTTGAGTATTTGAAGTATAATTCGTATGGAAAACCATCCTACCTTGAAGGTCCGCTAGAACCAGTAAAGTTTCACATTGAAAGTTTGATGCAGGAAGTAGTTATTCTCACCGCATCGATTTTTGATCAATATTAATTTTTTGTTCGTAGTGATTCTTTTACAAGAGCCTGCAAACCTGCTAATGGCACAGACGTTTTTCTTGGATCCACTTCTTGAAGTTTGGCAACAACCTGTAGAGTAAGGAGGCTAGGGGGTTAACTGGACGCGTTTACCAAGACAACGTCCTCAATAATAATAAAAAATGGATATTTGACAAAACCTGGATACGTGTTATTATTTGTTCCTAATACTAGTTCAGAAAGCAGCAGAAAAAAGCCTTTTTCAATACGGAGCTTCCAATATCCCTTACCTATTTTGATTATATGCTAAGGCGTATCAAGAATAAGAAAGAAAAACAAAGAAAATTGAGAGGGGAATGTTCCATTTATTCCCATTCCTGAATCAGAAAGCTTTCTTTCGTGTAATAACGTATTCGAAGTGCATATGAATATTTTATACGATTATATAAGAATGAGTTCAAATCGAGTCTTAAAAATGCAGTGCTCCAGTAGTTTGTTCAAATAAAATGCACCAGATTCCAGTGGCAAGTTTAGGGTAAGGCGCGGGAGGCGCGCGCTTCCTAGACGTTTGACACTTGCTTTTGTAATCTAACACCATTGTGTTACTTTCTGACACATCATGGCGACAGAGGCATACTACCCAACCAGCAAAGTAGTGCTATAAGCTTTTGGTAAAAGAACCGTTCAGCCATAAAAGCTCTCTATTGTTGTTGCCTGAACACCAAAATACTGGCTTAATGTTGTGTGGAATGCAAATTTGTTTTCTGCAACATATTTGCTCTAAAATGAGGTGTTTAAAATATTCTTGTAGCATAGTTATACGACACCTTATAGGACAAATTTTTAACTGTTGCATACACGTTTATACAACTACTTTATACGGCATATTTGCACGTTAGTCAAAATAGTTGTGTTGTGGCATCCATGGTAACGTTTATAAAACAAACCCGAGCCTTGTTGTTTTGCTGTGCAAATTTACTACTTTAGGCCCGTATCGTCAGTTGTCCCTACAATTGTAGGCCGCGTTTATGGCCTCCTTGATTGTCATAGTTTTCTACTTCTCCGTGTCAGCGCTCTATTTTGAGGTTATGTCACAAACATCTATTTGCATCAAATTGTGCTTGCTTTTGAGTTTTATCATGTTTTTTCAGCCTCAAATTTCCTACAATTTAAAAGGAAAACATATATTAACAATAGGAGAGTGCTGACGCAGACACGGGACGAGTGTAATCTAGAAATTTTTGAAGGTGAGAAAAGAGTATGACAATCAAGGAGGCCATAAACGCGCCCTACAATTGTAGGGACGACTGACGATACGGGCCTTAGCCAACAAATTGCTCCCAACGGAAGCACTTATACAACATCTTAGTAACTGTTAAAGGCTGTACATATGCAGCAATATTACAACTTTTGTACAACAAAATTGCTGTGATCGGCATACATTTGTTTCTAAATATGTTGGTATACAACTTCGCCATAACCTAACTTTCTGCTGTCATACTTTTGTTAAAAAGCCATAACCAATATGTTTTAAGAGAAACAACGCATGCATATTGGTCCAAAAGGTTTTATCAACTGTTCAAACAGAAGATATAGATCTGGTACAAATTCTGGGTAAATCATTCGACTCTGTCGGTATTTCATTTCAGACATTTGTCAAATTGTTGTATAACTCCTGCAGGCAACACCAAAATATTCTAATAAACCAAAGGCAACATGGACGATACCATGATTATACACAACCACCCGCCATATTGGGCAAACATTTATTCCTCTATTTAGTATTAAATAATTATGTTTCAGTTCGAAATTACAGATATAAAGTGATAAACATTAGTGTAATTGTGTCCAAAAAATATAGGATTTGTGGAAGGTTTAACGCGGATAAGTTCAGTTTTCCATCTTAAAAATCTAGACATACTTTGGTCATTA